GATATGATCTCAGCACTCCTCGTCGTCTCCGCCCATAGTGACATCGGCGTTGTCCACCAAGGCTTGCAAATGGAAACAATCAACACCAATTTCATAAATTAGAGATGGAAAATACAATCAAATTCAGAACCTACGAATAAGGCAGAATATTGTAAATTAGGTATGTCTCAAAGACTTATATGCAATTTTAAGAATCGTAATTCTATTGCAATTTAGTTCACGGGAAAAATGTGTAATCAAATAAAAAATTAATAAATCCAAATTATGATAAATAAATTGAACATTATGTAGTGTGTATATGAAAATTAAAAATACAATACTACAGAATGCACAATACGATTATATGGAGTGTACATTAATGCATGTGAGAATGCACATTAGCGTGTATTACTCGCAATGACACCGCTTGAAACATACAATGTTACATTATTGTGCATTTAATTTATCACATGTGTGCATTATGTAATGCAGTCAAGAGTGCATATTTATACCAAAACTGAAAAAACCGACTGAAACATACTATTATAAATTTTTTGTTTCGATTTTTTATTTGACGGTTCGAATATCTGTTTTTTTTTTACATTTTTTTATATATACATTGTTCACGTGAGAAATTTCAGTCAGTAAGTGTGGAGATCTCCCTACGTAAAAATTGAATTTTGTATACTGTAATGATGTCGAGTCACCTTTTTTTATATGTTGATTTAGCTCGGGTATTATTACACAAGTAGAGTTATTTTTAGTGAGAAAACATTCATACCCTATATCACAATAAATTATGGGTATTTAAAATGCAAAATTCAACGAGCACTTTTCACAACGTTAGTACATATGTATTAAATACAATTGATGGTGATGTGCAGCTCTGCAGGGCGAGACTCAATTCCCAATGATCATTTTCGACAGCACGATGATATGCGTACAATCAGCATTTAATGCGTCATTAGAGGTTGGCCTTTCCATGATGCAGGTTGGCACATGAAGTATGAAAATCAAGTGTTTTACACGGAACCTTGTTCAATGTCGAATTGATTGTTTATGTGAAAATGTTGATCGGAATGGCTTATTCAATGTCTAACCTTTGAGGTCGGATGTTATTCATCTTTTTGTGTCACATGTCGGTCGATGGCGAGGTCGTCAGTTCGGATGCCAACATACAAACCACTAAGCTCTGGTGGTTCGTCATACGGCTGGATCATCCGAGGTCATATCTTCAGTGAGTCAGCCGAATTGATGTATATTTTAAATACTTAGTGGCAATTTTGAATACCACAATGGATTAGTACCATCGCTTCAAAAGACATCTGTATGGAAAGGCATTTGGGCAGTTACATCTCTCGAGACTCGTGCGCGTCGGTTTTCACAAAACGGTACAAGCATTAAAACCCACGTGCATTACGAAATACTTCAACTTGAATGCTTTGTCGGGTGAAGTGGCGTCGTTTCATTGGCGGATCGATCAATCTCTATTTATATATATACAAACCTTACTTGTTTTATTTTTCTTTTTCTCTTTCTTTTTTTGCTGAAATTCGCAAACATCATCTTTTCTGGAGCACTTCATCCGCCATTTATGCAATTTTTGAAGCTTTAATTCTCGATAAGATCTCTTTCCAATTTTAATATTTTTATTAAACTCAGTGCCTTTTCCACAAGAATTGTTACCCGTTCTTGTTGCACAATTTTCACATGAAAGTTATAAAATACTTTCTACTCATTCTTGTTGCACATTTTCATATCACATACACCACTATGGATTAAATCCCAACGATTAAACAATATATACTCCTTTTCACCGAATGAAAATGTAATTTAGCAATTTTAGCTTCAACACAAATTTCATATTTTTTATGTACTCTATTTTAGAATTAAGAATTAATATAAATTCATCCATCGTTTAATTGTATTTAAATTTACATGTCCTAGTCTAATATGCAATAAATCACAGCACTCACCAGTATAAACAGAAATATACTTGTCATTATAATTGGAAATAGTTAAAGGACTCACAACCATTGCATTCATTTTGAACAATCTCTTGTCGAGATAGCGAGGACTAAGGAAAGTTCCAAACTTACTAAAAACGAACTTCTTAGTATTATACACTGGCCTAAGTCCATGCTCTACAATAATATATCAGGAGACCAGATTCTTGTGGATGTGCGGAACATGTGGAACATCCTTAAGATTCAATTCCTCTTCGGAAATTAGCTTCAGCAATACAGTGACAACTCCAACCACATCAGACAAGGAAGAGTTACCATGCGAAGTTTCTGACCATGTAGTCAAAAAACAACTTATTGTCGGAACAAATATGGCGAGTGACACCAATATCAATGTACCACTTTCTTGA